TTGAGAATTTCTGTTTTCTGTTTTCTGCCGCTCTGCAGCGCCGACTGTCAACGAATGGCGAAAACTTAATGCTATTGTTTGTTGAACATAATTTACTGCATACATTTGGGCGTCACATGCGCATAAGTAGACAAAATAAATGTGTTTTATAAACGAAAGAATTTTCAGAAGCAAAAAATGGATTGCCGAAATTTCATGGTATGCTATTTATTATGGAAAAATTATTGTTTGAAAATAAATAGTGAGAGCACAAAAGGTCAATTGGTATGAAAATAATTACAGCTCAAGTAGTTGTGTAGGGTTTACGGAGATTTATGTGTTTTAAAAGGTAGAAGATAAATTAAATATAGAGCAAGAGAGAGAGTACTCGCGATAATCGAGGTATTGCTATGGATTATAGGGTGATAGGATGATATGAATGGAGCAAAGGTTGAACTTTATGACTAAAGGATTATTCATTAAATTCCATCTTCTTCCTGAAATACATATATATCCCTTACTCGAACTACAAATTATTTTTGGATAACTCAAGAGCCGGTAGCCTTCCTAAGTTGTTCACTTCTAGATTTATCCTGCCTGTGCTGCATTGAATACTTTTAAAGCTGGAGTGTTTCCTGCGCACTATTCGCCTTCACTAGTTTCATAAATCTTTCAAGAAACCTATCTTCCGAATACTTCTAATGCTGTCTCATTGGATATCGTCATCTTTACTTTTCGATTACACATTAACTCCACAGTAGCAAGAATGGTGCCGCGATGGATTTCAAAGCTAAAATTATTGTTGGTTCAGCAAGCAATCGGGGTGTTCTTAGAGAGTCTGCCATTTAAAAAAGCATGTTAGGCGAGTGAATCAGCTTAGACCAAACATGTTTTGTCTCTAAAAAAATTAATGTACTCTAGATCTACACAATCGCCTATAAAGGGATGCTTTAAGTTGAACAAGTCTCAAATGTTTTCTGTATTTTTGTGTACTCTTCAAATCTTCTTCTCACAAAATCCTGCAAAAGCTGTTAGTACAAAGCCCAAGCCAAATACTTTTATTTTTATGACCAGTATGTAGATGAAATTGGAGATATAATGGGGCGCTATCAGCTTCTGGATATGCAGTTACGGTCGCGGAGTCATATTTCTACTCTTGCGTCCACGTCGCGCACCCTGGAAACATGAGAAACCCTTGTGAAAGTTGCGGTAACCAACCCGTGTGGAGCCTCCAGTCACGGCTAAAAGAGAGGAAGCTTTAGTGGAGCTACTCTGGATTATTCTAAATACAGCGTCTGTTCACCATAGGTGCAGTTGCGAGCGGGTATCGGTCTTCAAAAAAGCGACGCCAAAGAAAAAAATCATAAATCATCGAATGAGATACCCACCTTTCTGGGTACTACCCCAGCAAATCATCGTGATCCTTAAGATTTAAAGTCAAGCACCTGGAATGTCCGCTCCCTTAATCGGGAAGGTTTCGCTAACCCAGCTGCTTTATGTCCTCTTAGGAATAAAAGCTGACCTCACCCTTCCAAGAAGTGCGATGGACGAGAAAAAGGAGCGCCAGCAAGTCGGGTTTGTGGTGGGGGAGAGACTCCGTCATCGAGTGCTGGTATTCACCCTGGCTGACGTATGCCGATTATATCATTCATTGGCATCAACAACTGCGCTGGGAGTTCTACTTTCCCCAGATTGGATAAGAAAACGAAGCGTGTTGGGTAGGTGGGGAGCCTGGGCAAGACATCATCGGATTCGCGATTCAGCTGCCAGTTTTTGATCCTCAATAGTCAAAGGAAAAAGTTCTTAGAAATTAACCCACAGAGTAAGTAAAACAAAATGAAGATCAAACTATTTTCTAGTTTTTGTAACTTTTGTGGAGTTTATGTGAGGTAAGTAGATTGTGGTTGTATCCTTGCTGAATTAGTTTATTGGGGTTTGCCTGATAAGCCTGATATTGTGCATTTGTAGAGTAGTTGATGTCGTAGGTGTGAAGATCTAAAGGTAGAACCTTTGACCTGATTCCCACATAAAATATATGTTTATTTATTTATATAGCTCTGTGTGTGTGTGTTCTGATCCTTCCATAAAAAGTACTATTTATCGACTAGAAAGCTGCAAGGTTCCATCGTATCAACAGGTATTTTTCTCAAAAAATAGGAGTTTTATTACGCTGATGGACTACGAAATGTCAATTATTCAATATATTGAACGAGAATATTTAAATGCAGGTTCTAAAAAGTATTTCAATTTTCATTTTCCACAGAAATCACATTTTTTTTTTATTTTCTGCAGTAAGAAATTAAAATCTTTCAAATTTCTTAAATTACGCATGGTGGCCACCTCTACTCTCCACTCACCACTCTTCAGCACATACTTTTCCGCATTTATCTGACAATTGCCAGCCATTTTCATGTACTTTTCCGAGTGCACTTAGCAAAGGCAAATGCAAAAGTGCAAGTGTGTTGGTTTGCTTTCAAAAGCTATTGAAGTGCCATTTGTAGCATACTTTTCGGGGCGTCAGAGTTGCGAGAATCAGATGCCAATAAAATACGAAAATTTGCCAAGCTATTTTCACCAGCGCAACAAACGACAGGCAAACACAGCGAAAGAGTGGCTGGAGTTAGTGCTATGCATACTTGTATGTTGGTTTTAATTTTATTTATGCAATTTGGCCACTTGTTTGTTGTCGCCATTGTTTGTTTTGTGTTTAGGTTTGTGTAAATATTTTTTTTTTCTCGTTTCACTGTTTTTCTTCTTCATCAACACCAAGTGCTCGCCGCTACTCTACTCAACATTTTGTGGTTTCAGTTGGGCGTTACGCTAAGTACTTTCGTGTGTGTGTGTGTGTGTGCAATAAATTCAACAGAAATTCGCCATTACTGCAGCCACTCCACGTAATGCAATGCACACAATGCCGCGCAGTCAAAGAGGAGAGGAACACGAGCGAGCCACTTGAAAATTGTCATCCCAACATGCACTGGGGAATAATTTGCAAAAACCCGAACATATGTACATACATATATACGTGAAAAATTTATAATAGCTTGAGAGGCGTTATAATTTGAAAATTGCCATTTTTGTTGTTTTTGCTATGCGATGTTTGCTTTTTCGGTTATCTTGTCGCTGCGCGTGGTATGTTGTTTTAATAATTTTTTTTATTCGCTTACATACATTTGTATTTGCTCATCTATTTTTAACGCTGCGCTTTAGCGGCTAGAAAGGCTGTTTAGTTTGCGGAAATTAGTTTTTGTGTGCACGTTTTCCTATTTCCTATTTTTGCCTCCTTTTAACGTTACTTATTTGCTTAATACTTTGTTCTTGATGCATGATTTCGAATGTGGCTCCGCCTCGGGGATGGCTTGTCACCGCCTTGAAGAGTAAAACGAGTATCCTTTGTGATTTAAAGTAAAATGGTGGCAAGCATTATCACGAAAAAAAAATTAAAAAAAAAAATTAAAATTAAAATTAAAATTAAAATTAAAATTAAAATTAAAATTAAAATTAAAATTAAAATTAAAATTAAAATTAAAATTAAAATTAAAATAAAAATAAAAATAAAAATTAAAATTAAAACTAAAATTATTATTACAATGAAAATTCAAAAAATTAATTTAAAATCGTAGAGCAAAATATTTTACACCTAGTCCTTATTTTGAAATTCCGTGAGAAGATATATTTACTTTATTTATATATGCAGCTGTATATATAGGTGTAATATATATTTATGTCTGGTCCACCCCAGTTTCTCGCTTTGACTGTTTCCAGAGAAAGCAATACAGCATTCACTTCATTAGTGAAAACAAATTCGTCTTAAATTGACATTGAGCAGAATAAAATAAAAGTAAAGACCGAAAAAGTCATGGGCAAAGCTGGGATATCGTGAATTGTCAGGGGAAAAAAAGAGGGAGAAATTATAAAAAAAAAATTACAATAAAAAATAAGACGAAGAAACGTACCAAACAACCTGCGTTAGAAGAAGTAGAAAGGCAATGGAAGTTTTTGCGCCTGAAAATATGCGACGTGAAAAACACATATTCATATGTAGGTAACGAAGAAAGTAGCCACTTTGTTGATTAACGGTTAAAATCAACTACTAGCGGTGCAATTAAACTTGATGACGTGCAAAATAGCCCGTAAAAATCAACAAACATATACATATATAAAATAGGCATACATGTACGCGAAGGACGGACGCTATTGTTGCGCATTAAGAAGACAAAAGTGTTAACAATAGCACAGTAATTACAGCAACAACTACAACAAAGAACAGACAGACAAAACCGGCGAGACAAACAGGCACAGACTTACAAATAAAGTGAAATAGATGAAATGAAATGAAGATGATATGCAAAAGCAGACAATCAGTCATTGGCAAGACGACAGGCACATCTTTGTGTCCCCACGGCCGGCCAGGCAATTGCCAATGCATATTCACAAACACTCACAGAGGGGTTAACATTTTTCGAAAATGTAGGCGCTCGCCACTCACTCGCTCAACGGGGGGACCAACGCAAATGCCGCGACTCTGCGTCTGCTCCGGCGGCGTTCGTGCGTAACGAAAATTAATCACATGCAAAATAAATATTAACTGCTAATTTGAATGACGTACTTCGCATCTGCCGCAGCCTAGACACGCTAGGACAATACAAAGGCCGTCAGCAAAAACAGCAGCAGCGTCAGCAGCAAATATTCAGTTTGTTTGTAACAAAATTTAGAAAAATTTGAAATTTGACCAGACCAGCTCGTTAATTTAATTTGAAGATTATGCGCTGGGATTTTAGGGGTTTTTGTTTTTAATTGGAAATAGCAACGCTATTTTGCATACTAATTAATTTATGGTTGTCTTATATTGATTAGTTGTTTGGATGAGGGCATGTAATATCAACATAATTAATGTTTCTGCTGATAAATAAAGTTTGTTAAAGTGTCCCAAAATCATTAAAATTTCCTCAAAGAATCTAGGGTATGTTTTTTGAAGACTTTTTTTTTAGTAAAAAAATAATACAATAAAAATAATTTACCTCGTTCATTGGCTGCTTTTCATTGGCGCAACTCGATAACCCTGGAAGAAAGAAATATTTCTTTAATCGGATATAAATATATACGAGCATAGCAGCAAGAAAATGCGGTTCTAAATAAAAATAAATTATTTTTTTAATCTTTTACTCCATAGTTTTAATGCTATTTTAGGTTATTGAAATTAATAAACGATTTTTATTTTTTCATTTGATAGAAAATATCATCAAATCCTGGCAACTCCAACTTCAAATGAATTTATATTATATTTTTTCGATATTTTATTTTCGTCCACGTAGACCACATCCAGCAAGCAGTGAAGAAAATATAGCGTCGTAGCTGAAAGTGTATGCGAGGACCGTGGAAAGTCGATTCGGCGCCGTTCGCCGCAGCTCGGACTGACGCATGGTACGATCTTAAATTGAAAGTGTACAAAATACAGCTTGTGCAAGAACTGAAGCTGCTCGACCTTCTTTAAACTAGTTCGGTACAAGCAATTAGGAATTCAATTTCTGAAAATAGATAATTGAGTACACTCACACACTGAATTTTCTCGTTCCAAAAATACATGAAAATAAGCTACGGAAACTTGTTGCAGGGTGTTCACACGTCGAAAGTTAAATTCTAAGGGAAATAAAAATTTCATGAAATTCGCTGACGGTTATAGTCCTAAGATTTCGATGATAATCAATTATAATATTTATTTGTAAAGACAAATAATCATTTAAATGCAACACTGCATCTGTGCCCAATTTTTTTGAAACATCGTTAAACCAGAGGGACTCGTTTGCGTATAAACATACGGGCATGGCTAAATCACCTCAACTCGTCATTTTGACTCGATGGTAAGGATTTTTATGGGTATATTCCTTCTCCTATTAGTACTTTCATATATACCTTGGACAAAAGTTAATATACCAAATTGTACACAGATCAAAGAACAGCGAGGCTTGTGCGAAAACAACAAAAGCGTTGGATATAAAAGTTATTAAAAATTGCACAAAAACCTTGGCCATCGTGAAAGTAGTACAAATAAATAAATCTGTGTATCTGTGTACCTATGTGTTTATGGCTGTGCATACTCCTTTGCATGCGAGCAAATAGTCGTTGGGCTCATCTTACTCGTATGTCATACATATATATATACTCATATGTGCTATGAAATCGCAAAGAATTTTTTGCATGGGTAGCGAGAATTGGAAGGGAATCGATGCAAGCAATGCGCAATTAAACAATGCTGCCAGGAGACATGGGTATCTTCACTGCAGCAACGCCTCTTACTGGCATTCATACACATATTTACCAGCCATTCGTTTGTAAAAATTCGCACAACATATCCACGTCGTATCCATATTGTGTATGTGTATTTTTCCAACAGAAATGAAATGAAGAAAAAAATCCACACTAAAAATTTTTGATTGCGATTTTCACTCATTTTTTGCCATTTTTTTCCCCAAACAGTTTTCATATTTACCATGACGTGCACTGCTATTCGTGCAATGTCGTTGCGTCAGTACTGAAATGGAAATAAATACTGCAACGCAAAACAAGTATTTCAAGTATTTTGTAGAACATGGCATTTACAACAACTACAACTGCAACATGTTTATACTCGTTCGCACACAGTTTGCTGCTGCCGCCTGACAGAGTGGACTGGAAAGAAATGGGTACAAGTTCGCTAGGCTGCTGATTGCCGCAGCTTTTGCGTATGTGTATGTATTTGTGTGTAGATGTTTATGCATGTTTGTGTATAGATGGCAAAAGCGCCTAAAGTGCTGCCTTAAATTTGAGACATTGTTGAGTAGAAAAGCAAGAGGCGTGCGATTTTTGTCCTGTTCTAGCACTGTCCTTGAGGGCGTACGTAAAAATGTATATCTATATATGTACAATTAGTATTTACAAAACTAAACTCTTGCGTTTACTGAGGCGCGTAACATAAATTTTGTAAATAAAAATCAGCGTATGATGGGCAAGAAATTGAGGCAAAAGCAAGTTCAGGCATATGTATATTATATTCCTGCAAGATATTTATTTATTTATTTTTTGTAATTTATTATCATACAAAAAATCTTACAATTAAGACAAAGAAGAGCACTAGCTGCCAGGTCTTTTAGCTCAAAGCATTTTGATTGCGTCACAGAGCTCACAATATCGTAGTAGAGCTGTTAGAGAGACATTTTCGTTAACAACATTTTGGTATGTAGTTTTTTGTTATTAACATTAATGTTAGCAACATTAATGTTATTAACATTCATGTTAGCAACATTAATGTTATTAACATTCATGTTAGCAACATTAATGTTATTAACATTCATGTTAGCAACATTAATTTTATTAACATTCATGTTAGCAACATTAATGTTATTAACATTCATGTCAGCAGCATTAATGTTATTAACATTCATGTTAGCAACATTAATGTTATTAACATTCATGTTAGCAACTTTAATGTTATTAACATTCATGTCAACAACATTTATGTTATCAACATTCATGTCAGCCACATTAATGTTAGCAATATTAATGTTATTAACATTCATGTTAGCAATATTAATGTTATTAACATTCATGTTAGCAATATCAATGTTATTAACATTCATGTTAGCAACATTAATGTTATGAACATTCATGTTAGCAACATTAATGTTATTAGCATTCATGTCAGCAACATTAATGTTATTAACATTCATGTTAGCAACATTAATGTTATTAACATTCATGTTAGCAACTTTAATGTTATTAACATTCATGTCAACAACATTTATGTTATCAACATTCATGTCAGCCACATTAATGTTAGCAATATTAATGTTATTAACATTCATGTTAGCAATATTAATGTTATTAACATTCATGTTAGCAATATCAATGTTATTAACATTCATGTTAGCAACATTAATGTTATGAACATTCATGTTAGCAACATTAATGTTATTAGCATTCATGTCAGCAACATTAATGTTATTAACATTCATGTTAGCAACATTAATGTTATTAACATTCATGTTAGCAACTTTAATGTTATTAACATTCATGTCAACAACATTTATGTTATCAACATTCATGTCAGCAACATTAATGTTAGCAATATTAATGTTATTAACATTCATGTTAGCAATATTAATGTTATTAACATTCATGTTAGCAATATCAATGTTATTAACATTCATGTTAGCAACATTAATGTTATGAACATTCATGTTAGCAACATTAATGTTATTAGCATTCATGTCAGCAACATTAATGTTAATAACATTCATGTCAGCAACATTTTTGTTATTAACATTTTTGTTATCAACATTTTTGTTAACAACATTTTTCTATCAACATTTTTCTATCAACATTTTTGTTATGAACATTTTTGTTATCAACATTTTTGTTATCAACATTTTTGTTATTAACATTTTTGTTATCAACATTTTTGTTATCAACATTTTTGTTATCAACATTTATGTTATTAAAATTTTTTTTATTAACATTTATGTTATCAACATTTCTGTTATTAACATTCATGTTAGCAACATTTCTGTTATTAACATTCATGTTAGCAACATTTCTGTTATTAACATTCATGTTAGCAACATTTTTGTTATCAGCATTGTTTATATCAACATTTTTGTTAGCACTTTTGTCCTTTCAAATGGCTTTTGTATATAAAACTTCTATTTTTGATGTACATACATTAATCACAGCCACAAGGTCACCCTCTAACACTTTAAATTAAATTGAATCAAAATCGCTTTCGCAATTTCAGCGCTACATAAAAACAAATTTAAATAAATTATTTGGCCAGCAACAACAAAAATCATCAATTACTACAATGAAGCCACCCATGGAGCGATGTTAAAAATTACAAGCAATAATTTGTAGTCCAGAAGTATACAACAAAATACCAACAGAATTCTTGCAGACAATGGTAAATAGTTGCGCGGAAAGACAACGGAACAACAGCGAGCGTATAACGACGGACAACCGCCGCTTCATTGCATTGACAGCTCCACAGCTTTGCAGCGTACGCACTAGCTGCCAAACTCTTCCTTCAACCAATTGCCCAGCGTCCGGACAGCACCGCCGTCATTAATAACCGACAGTACGGCCATAATAAAAATTAATAATATTCGTTAATACAACGCCGGGGTGCGATAAATTTTATTAAAAAATGAGTTGTTACGCCGCGAGCCGTCAACAACATGCGACAGCTGTGCCATGCTGCTGCGCTGATGTGAACACAAGGAATTCATCAAAAACAACAATAACAAAGCCTTTAAACTAGTGCAAGCAAGCGAGACATAAATATAATGTTATTTCATTTATATCAACAACATCGGGGAGGCTAACAAGGGAAATGCTGTTATGTATTTAAGTTTTTCCTTTTCGGTGTGTTGCTGTTTCTGTGGGTATAGGTGTGTATGCTCATATGTTTGCAGTTGGTTATTTTTAATTGAATTACATTTATAAAAATATGTATGCAAATATGAAGGTGTCAGAAACACATTTCAGTGCAAATATTTGTAAATGTATATGTACAATATGAATGTAAGCGAGCAAGTAAGTATTATTCTGGTTTTAATAAGTTCATTTATTTATTTATTTTTATTTTATTTTATTTCATTTTATTGATTAATCAATTGCAGAATAAATTTTTAAAAGAGAACATTTTTTTCAAATGTTTTGGCTTTTTAGTTGATGAGCATCAAAAGATGAAAACTAATTTCAAAAATTCATCCATTTTCCACTTTCGAAAATAAGCGTATATAAATGTTACTTAAATTTATTATTTTTCATGAAATTCCTTTTTTTTTGTTATATGAAAGTCTACATTCAAAAGACTGCCTCGCGAATTTCTCAGAACTTTGAACCGCTTGACATATTTTTCGATCGCTTTTTGCACCTATCGGGCGGTATCTCCCCATAACTAGACGAATGTTTGTTTTCAATTGCTCAAGAGTTAAAAATTTTGCGCATAAAAGTCGCAAATTGACATCGCCAAGACTCTGGAATAAGCGGCCAGGAAGCTTGTTCCGCCATGATGCCGTATATGCTTGTGTTTAGTGGCATGTGGCATCACCTTGTTTAAACAACGCATTGTTCAATTAGGTGTTATACAAGACGATTGTCATATAACCAAATTCGCCGAATCTGCATCGATAGCCTCGCCGTTGTCGTTTTCATTTAGCTCAATTTTTCCTAAGCGAATTCGAATTCGAATGGTTACTCTAAAAACTTTAGTAAAGTCGTTGGTGACGAATTTTGGTTCTGCGAGGACGACCTAGAAATACACCAGACCAAAATATGGAGCTCAAAAGGAGCAAATCCACCCGTAAAGTCTGAACAACAAAAACCGATCTAAAATCGTAGCTGCTATGCCAATAGAAAATGGAATTACAAAGTGTTACACCGAAGTTTTCAAAAATTTTTTGGAAAACAGGAAGGAAGAGGATTTCCTGCACTACTTTCTACATCATGGCAATGCTCCATCCCACACTGCTGAAATAACAAGTGTCTTTATTGCGATCTCTGGGATCGAAGAAATACGTCCGGCATCATATTCCCGGGAGTGCTAAACATTGTGAATTCTGATTGTTTCCAAAAATTAAAAAAAAATTTAAAAGGATAAACTTAAAAAGCAAGTGGTTTTTAGAAGTGGACCCATAGGCTTAAGAAATGCATTGCAATGAATGGCGATTATGTAGAGAAGATAAAAATGTACAAAGATTACGAATAAATACAAAATTTTTTTTCTGATCAACTTACCAAACTTTTGTTAATCTACTTAAGGAACGAAATGAAATCTTTAACTACAAAAAAAATGTTTGGTTTGAGAGTTAAATGTGGTAGATGCCAAAGTCCAGCGATGCACGTTTGAAACCACGAAATGCGTAGCCCTATACAACTGCCATCGCTAACTACACAGCTAACTTATAGAGATATCTTAACAAGGTATTCAGCGGAAATAGGTTAAATTGCGAATATTTCATTCGGGTTTTACGAAAATTGAATTCGTCTGATAAAATGTCCCAGCCAGAAGTCGTGTTCGTCACAAAAAAAAATCTACCAACGAAGCGATGATACCCATTCGTACTTCGCTTTGACTCGATATCAATATGATTTTAATTATAAATTAAGTAGACGTCAAAGAGACAATGAATAAACCCAAATCCATAATGGCAGATTGTTTACTTGAAAATAAGGAAATCTGCCTCACTGAAACCACCCTGCAGAGTAATGGTAGACATATTACTCTTTCTCGACAGAAGCAATCTCCTGCTGAAACATACCGCAATGGGCTGGGATCTGGAATCTATCGTTGCTGGATGATTCTTGCAAGAAACTACCGCGCTGACATTTTCGTCAAACTATCCATAAAGAAGATAAATGAAACAGATTTTCCAATTTAAATTGACGGATTCAGTATGGTGGGAAAATTAAAAAAAAAATCGCATTTCCATGAATATTGGTATCGCTTGAATCAGAAATTTTTTTTCCGCCAAGCTGGCAACCCCGCTGGTAAATGGTCGGTAGCAGAGTTATGGCCGTACCATTGATTGGAATGCGCGATGTGTGGTTCGGGCAAAGAGCGCTAAACTCGGTAATTTGTAATTGGTTTATCATGTCAAGTCAAATCGATAGCTTCAAAACGTTCTGAGTGCTTACAAGTTCCGGAGGTGTGGAAGGTATAGATTATTTCGACTTAAGTATTTTCCAGATATATGATGAATAATCGTTAATTTACACTATTGCGGTGCGCGTACAATTTAAAAGGAAGAAAATCGCAATGGCGAGGCAAAACTCTTCAATTCATTCTAAGCTAAATCTAACTTTTGTCGGAATGCATCCGTTTACTGGAGTTATACTTGTATATATTGTATATATATATATATGTATGTGTAACTGCATATATATAAGAAATACATACATACATTTACAGAAGCCATTAATGCAGACAATTTACAACGGAACAATGAAACTATGAAAAGACAAAAGCGATGAAAAAATGTCAACATTAAATAAAAAAAATACCGAAAAAATGGAGCGCGGAAAATACAAAAAAAAAAAAAATAAAAAAAAAAATAATAGTAAAGTAAGAATAACGAAATACAACTAAATATAAAAACAATGCGTCGAGTGTACTGAATGAATAGAATTTTAAGAATTAAGCAGACATACATCATATATATTATAACAGGTGATTATTGTTGCTGCTGCTATGGAGCAACGCGTTGAGTCGCGAGTGGAGATAAGTGAGTTTCTAACTCACGATTGTTTGAATGAGCATATGTATGTATGTAGCATTACGCATTTGTATAGAGATACATTTATAAGACTAGCACATGCATTTTCGAATGATTTTTAGAGTGACATGAACAGATTTGAGAGTAGTCCGGATTTTGGTGATGAGTTTTCGGGAGACAGATTTCGCTGAAGATTTATGTTGTTTTACCTGGGTCCTCTAGTAGACACTGAACATCAAACGAAATTAAGAACTCACTTGGCCAGACTTATATAAAGAGTACTATTTTGATAAACTCAGTTTAATACAAAAAGCAGTCAGCGCAAGGGTTACATATGAGGATACTTTCTAGTTGTAAATGAAGCAGAGATAGTAAGGGTAGAAAGAAAACTCTTTCAATCTACAGCGACCGGTTCAAAATGGACTGCATGCAATGCGGATGCAAAAGTGTTCTCCGAAAATATCGGCTTTCAGTTTCAGCTAGCCTACACCAAGCTGAAGTATGTTTACAAAAGACCTATAGTATTCTAATGGAAACCTGTGAGACTACGCAGTTAGTCAGGCAGCACTGCTTACCCTCAATTAATCAATAAAAAATTCTTTTGTCATCAATAATTTTAAGAAGACCCTGGGCTTGCTGGTCGATTAACTAGACATTTTCATATTCCCTGTTCCCGGCCAAAGCAACATTTTCAGCAACGAGAAAACTTACAAGTTGTTCAACCAAACATTGACGATCTTTTGTTTTCAAGTGCTCAAGAGTTAATGATTTATTCAAATGCTTGATTTTTGTAGCCAATTGACATCGCCAAGACTAGAGGAATGCTGCAGCGGAATTCATATATCCATAAAGTTATATTCGGGCGTGTTGCATTGCATGTGGCATGTGTTGTTGAAATCACATATTGACCACATCGTGTCTTCAAATACATACAGAAAAAAACATTCATCATAATGCTCTGGTTTGACAGTGATAGTCTCGCACCATTCCCACCTTCGGAGCAAAGAACGCCCCAGATAGATAGTTTC